AGCAATAACAGGTGCAATTACCAAATAGATTGAAATAAGAATGATAAGAATAATCAATGGTATTGGAACCTACAATGTTTGATTATTTATTATTATTATTATAATAATATATTATAACTTACACTTATTACTCGTTCAGCTTTTTTCATTGTAAATTTACAAAAAAGTGTTGCTAAAAACGTTAAACCATAAAAAATCCATGCAGCAAAACTAAAAAAATCAATAAGTCCTTCAACATTGCCTGGCATACACAAAGCTATTGCAACAAGACCCTTCAAAAACAAAAAAGAATATGATTATCAATTAACTATTTATCAATTTGATGACCTCAAGAACAACACCAGGTATTGGTGTCAATCTTTTTTTATGAATACAAGCAAAGACTTCAGGTAAATATCCATATTGAGCTCCGACCATACAGTAACGTGCAGAACCATAAAGAGATCCATTACCACCACCTAATGCACTGATTGATACTAAAATTGGTAAAGCACGCACCACGGGACCTATTGCAACCTCGCCCCACGTCTATTAATTAATAATAAATCAAACATTTAAATACATAATTTGATTTTTGTTACATACAACAGCAACACTATTTGAATTAAGTAATGTTACTTTATCCATTACAGTAAAATATGAAATATTTGTAAGAAGATAAAGAATTATAACAGATGGTAATGCTAATACTATAGATAACCATAAATTTCTATTAAGAAAAAAAAAAACTACAAATATATAGATCATCGATGAAATGTCGATTGATTACCACCTTTTTGGATTTTTCAATTCTTCAGTTATTGAATTTAAACTATTCCATCCATCATATGCCCATAGGCCTGAATAAAAAGCAAGTGCAACATTTAATGGTTTTGTTGTTGTACCTATACATGACTAAAACAATGCATTCCTCTCTTTACATTAAAAATTTTATTCTACCATCAAATCCATTTTGTAAATATTTTGTATGTCCTAGAAATAATTCTAATTATTTTTCTTTTTCTGTCTTATATAAGAAAAAAAAAACCAAACCTTGTGCAATTCGTACAATACCAACTATGATAACTATTATAATAGTTACTACTTTACAAATTACAAAGATAATATTTAATCGATTAGCTGCAGATACACTAATGGAATTGATATTCATAAGTATGACTTAAAATAGAAAAGACATATTTATATATAAAAAGTTGTTAATCCTAGAGAGCTGCGGATCCACCAATATGCGGGTCCAGATCCGATAGGATCCAAACTCAAGGTTTTTTCTATCAATATCAGGCGCCCTTTGTGTACATGAAGTTATATCTTGTTGCTGTATTTCTCATCTGGGGAGCAGAGGGTCCACAAAAACGTGTAACCAGACTCAACAAAAAATAAAAGGTTGGACCCGGCTGAATCTGGAAGGACTCGCAGCTCCCGAGTTAGTCCAAGTCTAGCGAGATTAAAACGTGGAACACTAATCGGTCACCATATATCCATTCCCTGATGAACATAAACAAAAGATATGTTCCATTTATTTTGAGCAGGAGGGATATTATAAAGCCAGAGATTCAGCAACCTATATTTCAATTTCGAACTTCTAATGTACTGAAATGTTCGTGATGAAAGATATTATTCGTCATATGTTACAGTGAGTTCGGTAAGAGAGACAAAAATAAAAACAAATTTTCTTTCATAATGATCTGATAAAAGGCTTTTACTTCCATAACCAGCGAGGGAACTCGCCGAAGTGATTCATGTAGACCCTCATGAGCTGTTAATACACTGAAAAGAGTTCGGGCTCTTAGCTTATTGCATTTTTTTAGTTCATACCATGATCTTCCTTAGGAACACTCATTTTTGAATTTCAATTGGAAACTCGACATAGAGACCGATGTTAACAAGAATTGTTCATTCTCGATGAGTTCAGCCTCTATAGAAAGTTTCAAATCGAAAAAAAGAGTTTTCCCAGTGTAGCTGAGAGAGACTACAGCATTCACAAAGCAAAAAATCAACATACGAAGAGTAAAAACAGCTGTCATTTTGACAAGTTGTTCTGATGGAGCACAATCTAAATATGTAGAATGAAAAGGAATATTATTACATAAAGAAAAATTTACCTATGAGAATACCAGATAAAAAATATTGAGAAAAAGTAAGTGTAAGAATAGCTATACTTGCTGGTTTGAGAATAAGTGCACTCGTCCAATTGAATAGATATGCTGATATTTCACCAATTCGCTCATGAACTGAACCAATACCTTATGAAGAAAAAGAAAAATCAAGTTTTAAATATTATCGATCGAAACATTTTCTATATATATATATATATATAACACCTTCTTTCATATAAGCTATTTCTGCTCCATTTCTTGGTATCACTGTACCAATTTCTGCATAGCATAATGCTCCTATAAAATATATAAACATATACAAAATAAGAATTTATCTTCAAAAATAAACCAAGCAAAGAAAGAAGACCAGATCCAATCCAAATAATTAAACATAAACCAACTGATTCTGTTCCACGTAAAACACCTTTCGGTGATACAAATATACCAGAACCTATCAATAGTGATATTTATTTATCATAAATTGAATAACTATACATTTATTTTTACCAATAATAATTCCAACAATAAAACAAACACCTGAGAATAGACCTAAATGTCTTTGAAGTGTTACTTCATTTGTTGGTAATTCATCTCTTAATGAATTTTTTCTATTGATTTTTTCACTTGTCAAATGTTGTTGTTGAATAATAAATGAATTACTCTGACGACGATGAATAGAATTAATATCAGCTATAGAAACAAGTTCATCTAAGAAATCTTTACTTTATCCTATATTATTGACTTACTCATAGATGAATTGAATGACATAGTTGCTGTTATACTAAATCAAAATATTTAACATTATAAATGTATTATCTAACTTAATACATCATCAACATTTATGTCTTGATAGGAAAAGATTACAAAACCTTTTCTCTCTTACTCTTTATCATCTAATCAAATTTATATAGAAATAGCAAAAGAATGAATTACACTTTAACTAAAAAACCAATAGATAATTTCGTACGATTAAAAAACAAAAGAAATTTATGAAAGGAAGTATGAAAACTCAAAGCATTTCAAAATATTCGAATAACATACATTTATATTCAAAATTTATCAACGACAAATTATATGCTCGTACTATTTATTCTATATGTCAATAATAAAATATTTTATATCAATATGAATTCTTTTCAATCTTCATTATTATTTTCATTTGAAAAAAAACTTGTATAGTCAAACAAATCTTTCAATTATACATAGATTATTCTTTAAAAGAAAAAAAAAAGAGAGATAGTTTATTTCATTTTATTTTTCATCTAATATAACAACAAAGAGAGAATTTTATGTAAAAATGACTAGTTCATATATATTTGACAGGTTGTATTTGTGTATAATTGTATATTAATCTAAGTTAATAGCCGATATCTTCAAATCAAAAAAAACTTCAAAAAATTTGGTTAGTTTTTCTATAAAAAAAAAACAAATAATATAGAATTATATTTGTTTATTTGATGATATATATATATATATATATATACTTACTCATGCAGTCTAATTCTACTTGATAGTATACGAATGGATAATAAAATACCATACCAAAGAGAATAAGAAATGTAGCTAAAAGAAATCCAATGCTTGGATTAACAATAACAGGTGCAATAACCAAATAGATTGAAATTAGAATAACAATAACGATGAGTGGTATTGGAACCTACGATATAGACAAAAAACTTTTATATTAATAATAACAACCAGAACAATCTAGAAAACCAAAACCAATTTTTCTGAACTCTGTCAACTCTTATGCTTTTTCCTTCAGTCTCATAAGTCCTTAGGGTTCCTCTAGGGGTGTAGAAGCTGCGGGTTCACGTTTTTGGGAACCGAAACCCACAGCTCTCTATTCTAGAGTGTAAGTAGGTATACGCATCCGCCACTCTCATGCCAAACGAACTAAAATATTCTTACGGCTTTAAAATGTGTATTAGCATAAAAGTAAAACAAGATGAATTTTATATTATGACTTACACTAATCACTCGTTTCGCTTTTTTCATTGTAAATTTACAACAAAGTGTTGCTACAAATGTTAAACCATAGAAAATCCATGCAGAAAAACTAAAAACATCGATTAGTTCATCAATATTACTTGGAATACAAAATATAATCGATAAAATTCCCTAAAGAAACGATACAAATCAATGATATATATATATATATATAATGAACGCAACTAACTTGAAGAACAATACTAGGCAATGGTGTTAATGTATCTTTTTGAATATATGAAAAAATTTCTGGTAAATAACCATATCGTGCACCAACCATACAATAACGTGCACTTACAAATAATGTTCCATTAGCACTTCCTAATGCACTTATTGATATAAGAATAGGTAGAATATTTGCTCCAATTCGACCTAATACAAGTTCACCCCATGTCTATTAATTAATGACAAATTAATTTTTTTTTTTAAAAACTATAAGCGATGCTTTTGTTTTGTTACATACGACAGCAACAGTATTTGAACTAAGCAATAATGCTTTATTCATTACAGTAAAATATGAAATATTTGTAAGAAGATAAAGAATTATAACAGATGGTAATGCTAATACTATAGATAACCATAAATTTCTATTAAGAAAAAAAAACTACAAATATATAGATCATCGATGAAATTTTGATTGATTACCTTTTTGGATTTTTTAATTCTTCAGTCACTGAATTTAAACTATTCCATCCATCATATGCCCATAAACCAGCATAAAAAGCAAGTGCAACACTTAATGGTTTTGTTGTTGTACCTATACATGACTAAAACAATGCATTCATCTTTTTACATTAAAAATTTTATTCTACCATCAAATCCATTTTGTAAATATTTTGTATGTCCTAGAAAATAATTCTAATTATTTTTTCTTTTTTATCCTATATAAGAAAAAAAAAACCAAACCTTGTGCAATTCGTACAATACCAACAATGATAACTGTTAAAATTGTAACTACTTTACAAATTACAAAGATAATATTTAATCGATTAGCTGCAGATACACTAATGGAATTGATATTCATAAGCATGACTTAAAATAGAAAAGACATATTTATTTACAAAAAAAAAAAAGAAGAATCAACATACGAATGGTAAAGACAGATGTGATTTTAACAAGTGTTTCTGGTGGACCACAAGCTAAAGATATGAAACATATTATAAGAATGTAATTGCAGAGGAAGACAAAAAAAAAAAATTTACCATCCATAATACCAGATAAAAAGTATTCAGCAAAAGACATTACAAGAACAGCTGTACTTGTTGGTTTGAGAATAAATGTATTTGTCCAATTGAATAGATATGCTAATATATCACCAGTTCGTTCATGAATTGAACCGATACCTTCTTTCATATAAGCAAGTTCTGCTCCACTTCTTGGTATTATTCCACCAATTTCTGCAAAACAAAGTGCACCTAGAAAGAAAAAAAAAACATCGAAAAAATATCTATCAATCTTCTTTATTAACTGACCAAGTAGAGCAACAAATCCACTTACTACCCAAATTATTAAACATAAACCAACTGATTCAGTATATTTTAAAACGCCTTTAGGCGAAACAAATATACCTGAACCTAAATCAAAACAAAAAAAATCGATCATAATTTTAATAGAAGTAATTTATTTACCAATAGTAATACCAACAATAAAACAGATTCCAGACCATAAATTAAGATGTCGTTTAAGAGCTATTTCATTAGTGCATGGAATACTTGGAAGTGAATCTGATTGTACACTCGATTTACATGATGTTTGACGATTACGAACAGAATCAATTTCAGCTAATACAAAAACAAAAAAAAAAAGACAATGATTTGTATAAGATTAAGATCATTTGTTAACAGTTTGATAATAATTTTTCCTAAACACAACTATCGATAGTTTCATTTATATAGAAGAGATTGAAAAAAAATGAATTATTCTCATAATTATGCAAATACTTTTACTTTGTTATATCTTTGAAATATTTTCTTTGCATTTATTCTACACATTTAATTAGATCATTTTCTTTGTTTTGTAAAATAATTTTTTATAGTTCATTCTATAGAATAAATATAAAGAAAATATTTCTAAGATTCGATAATAAATAACTTGAAATATTTGTATAATCGTAAGAATAAGTCATCCTTTCAATGAATATGAAAAACATTTCTTTATGTAAGTTGACATGTTCCATTTGATCATAGAAAATGTTTTTTTTTTTGTTATTGAAATTTTCACTTTTCATTGCAATAAATCTTTTCAATTTCAGTAAACTTACAATTAGATGCTTGATATGATTCGTTTGCAACCATTCTAAAACTATCTTGATATAATCAAAATTTTCATTTTATTTTATGAGACACAAAAAAAAAAACAATGCGAACATATATATTGAAATAAAGAACAAATAGCTGATGTATGTCCCAACCCAAAAAAAAAAGACGAAAGAAGAAAAATCATTAGTTAATATGAAGTATATAAAGAATTAGTTTTTGTTTTTTCTTTATAGAAAAAAAAAATCAAGTTTAAGTATGTCTATACTATCTATTATAATTGTTTATGTTATAAATCAAATGAATGAATTCGAAGTTTTTTTAAAAAACACGAATCATTGCCATACGATCTTTACCAACACCAATCCATCTCACTATTAAGAAAAAAAATAAATAAATTTTTTTGTTTTCAAATAATAAAAATTAATAACAAACCAGGTACACCAAGAAATTGTTCAATAAATTGAACATAAAGACGTGCATTACGTGGAAGTGAATTAAATGTACGACAGTCCGATGTTGAACGTCCACGCCAACCAGGAAATGTTACATATTCAACTTCAATATCATGCATTGTATCAACAGAAGCTATTTACAAAAAAAAAAAAAGAAAAGAATTTCTATTTCGTTAATATTAATCTTTTTTGTTTCAAACCCGGAAAATTTGGTAATTCAACTCCATTTCGTTTATATGTTGTTGCTATTTTAATTTCACCTAATTCATCAAGTGTATCAAGTTTTGTTAAACATAAAGCTGTAAAACCATTTATCATAGTTGTATATCGAAGTAAAACAAGATCAAGCCAACCACAACGACGTTTTCGACCTGTTGTTACACCCCATTCACGTCCACGAGTTTGTAAATGTTCACCAATTTCCTATAGAAAATTTTTGATATAAATAAGCTTCATATATAAAAAAAAAAAAGAATTTTTGCTTTTTCATTACATTTTTAAGTTCTGTCGGAAAAACACCATCACCAACACGTGTTGTATAAGCTTTTACAACACCATATATATCACCAATATATTTTGGTGCAAGACCAAGACCTGTACAGACACCACCAATACTACAATTCGATGATGTTACATATGGATATGTACCTAGAAGAGAAGAAAAATTTTAATATGATATCTTTTCTATTGATATTTATATAGATATAATTTATCAGAAACTGTTCGAAATAGAAATGTGTGCGAATAAGATTTGAAAGTCTGTCAGGATTAATAGAAAAGCGAAGTTACGTAGATCGTAACTACGAGAAAAAAAATTTGTCCTAACAGAAACTCAAAATTATAGTTAAAAATTCGATGGCTTTAAGCAAATCGTCCAATCAATTAGAACATAATTCAAGAGAAATGATCCAAAAACAATTGCTAATCGTCAATTAAATAAATCAAAAAACTTGTTAACACAATCCCTGTAGGATTAAAGTGTAAAATACGATACAGCCATTATTCGCATCCTCAAGGAGAGAAAAAGACGATTATAAGTTTCATGCTGACTCTTGACTCCAGCACGAGCAATGCGTAAGTTAGTAGAGGAAGGCTTTCTCTATCTAAAGTGTATGCATAATTCAGTTCTATTTTGTACTGCTGAGATGTCAATAGAGGACAGCCGGCGCGTAGGTAGCGCCATCTATTGATTTTTCCGCGGTTCCAAATAGAACTTCATAACGCATTAACTATTAGATGGAGTGACTCTTTATCTACAAATCTGCATATATCCTGCTCGTGGTGACAGCTGCTTTCCCTTTTTGCACGTTAAATCATTTCAGTCAATAGAAAGATTTGATTTATGTGTATTGATACATTTCTTGTTAGCCATGTTGATTTATAGCCTTGTAGATAGGAGGCTAGCCTAGGAAGGAGACGATCTGACTATCAACAGTCCAGGAACGTCTTCTAGTTGTTAGTAATAACAATAGATACCTGTGGTTATTTTAAATAACTCCAGTGGACAATGAAGACTATGATAGGAATTGAGACTAAAACAACTTGGTCTTGCATATCTCTATTCCCAAGTCGATTTACTGTGTTATCAGAAAATCTTGAGTAAGGTGTTTATTACTAGAGGTTTGATTTATCAATCCAACTAATCATTAGCTCTCAAAATGTTTCGATCATATTTATTTTTAATTTTATTCTGTTGTCATAAACACTAATAAAAATCCACATAATAATTTGAGTAGAGAATTTTATTTCTAACAAGAATATTTGAAGATAAAAGCGATCACTAATTTCTCAAGGATAGAATCTCTGAAAACCCCAAAATCCCATTTTTTTAAATTCATAGAATTTTTAATTATAGCTTCGTTTAAACCACTTAGAATAATGAAGGAAACAATTATCTACATCATGAAACATCTTCCAGTTTTCTTCGATGTTATTTTTGTGCGTTCTATAAAATTGACGTCTCTCAGGCAAAAAAACATCATAGACAGCTAAGCAACATTTTCTCTATCATTCTAAGTAATTTATTAGCGTTTTACAATAGTAAAATAAAATTGAAAATCAATTCGGTCGAAGAGTGTATATATAAATATTTATCTTTATCATCTTTCACCCTCATTCTATTTATTTTATCTTACAAAAGATTTATCATCATGTCGTAATAGACAAAGCTCTCTAAACTATTATCAACAGTATCATGTATATTTGCATTTTATTATTCTATATCGTCTGGTATCTTTTTTTTTCTTATCTTGTATTTGTACTATCAAACAACTCGTTAAACTAAAAGTAAATCATATATAAATATTCTATCATTTGTTAACCTTTACGAATAGTAAATTTTGTATGTAAGAAATAATAATCAAATCTATATGAAACTTAAATTTTTCCAATGATATCATAGTTTAATTGATAAACTTACCAAAATCAATATCAAGCATTGTAGCATTAGCACCTTCAACAAGAATTTTTTTTGAACCATCAATTATAGCTTCATTTAAATAAGCTATTGTATCAATAATCATTGGACGAAAATATTCAGCAAATTGTTTAAATTGTTCAATTGTTTTTTCAATATCAATATCCAAATCAGGAAATGTTAATTTATAATAATTATAAAGATTTCGTAATCTATTGTTAAAAAGAAAAACAAAAAAAAATCTAACATTTTCTTAAATTAATAATAACTAACTTATCAGCAAAAATAGAAAATTCGCCTATTAAATCACCTGCACGAATACCATTTCGTATAGCCTAAAAACAAAACTCATATTTACTAGATTAATTTTTGATTATACAAAAAAAAAAAAAAACTTACTTTCGATGAATATGTTGGTCCGATACCTTTTTTTGTTGTACCAAGACTATGAAATAAATTCAATAATTTATTTAAATTAATCAATAATTATTATTACTTGCCTACTTTTACCACGTCCTCGTTCAATAAAACCATCACTTTGTTTATGAAAATCAAAAACTAAAAATTTCAAAATTTATTTTGCATAAAAAAAAAAAATATATAAATTCTATATTTACCAAGATGTGCTCGATCAGATATGAATAATCGATCTGACCAATTTGTAATACCACGAGATTCATTCTTTTGAATTTCTTCCATTAATTCCGGTAAATTAACAACACAACCATTACCTAAAAAAAAGAATTTTTATTCATTTATATTGAAATTAATTTTCTTTATATTTCATAATACCAATGATATTAACACAATTTTGTAGATGAAAACCTGATGGAAGCATATGAAAATCATATTCAACACCATCAACTACAACACTATGTCCAGCATTATTTCCACCCTAATAAATATTTTTGCAAAAATAACAAATAACAAATAATGAATATAGTTTACTTGACAACGACAAACAACATCAGCTTCAGATGCAAGTAGATCAACTAATTTGCCTTTTCCCTGAAGATAAAATTTTTTCTATAATAGAATTATTATCTATTTTACTCACTTCATCACCCCATTGAGCACCAAGAACAATAGAAACCATAGATGGATTTGGAAAAGGATGGATAGAAGCACTATCTTGTCGTTTAACTACTTGAGGATGAGATGACATAACTAATATCTTTCAAAATCTATAGAATAAGAAACAAAAGACAATTATTTCGATAAATATAACTTTGCCAAATACACACACACACACCGAAAAATACTTTTTTTTAACTATAATAAAATGAATTATGATAGATATCTAGATAATTCAAAAAAAAAGTCTGTATTACATATTTATTTAATCAATTTAGCCAAAGTATCGGTTCTATCAGATTTCGTTCTCCGATATTACCGAACGATGGTTGCTCGCAAGAACACACTTAACTATGAAGGGCTCAGTTTATCACATTTTCGAGATCAAGGCATTAACAAACAACGAAAACTATTGTATAATAATCTGTAAGATTCTATACAAGTAGAAAAACCCATTCATAAGTTTATGACCTAGAAATGATAAACAATGGAAAATACATAAATAAAAACTTTTACGAATGTATATATATAGATATCAGAGTTATGTTTAAAATATTTCAAAATTCAATGAATTATCTTTAAGAGTCACATAACTAAATTTTAAAAAAGTAATCATATTCTAAAATCGACTTTGACCTGGATATGACGAACTACATATATAAACAATGTGAATAATAAATGACGAACGAGATTAAGAATAGTATAAATATATATGCGTTTAAAAATATTTTTACAACCTATGTTAAGAACGAATGAATAATTATGATCAAATTTATTATATTATAACGATAGAGACCTCTCTGTTAGTTTTTTATTGAAGAACTTTAAATCGAATAGAAATAAGAATGAATCACATAAGATAAGATAAAATAAATCTTGATTCATTTTTTTGTTTTCGAAGGACAAAGCAATAATACACACTTTAATAAGTTGTTTTTTTTTTTCATTTTAATTGGAATCAATAGTTGTTTTAGAATATTTTTCTTATGATTTCAATGAATTATTTAGAAGTATAATTATTATTTCGAACCGTATCATTTATTTTACATGTTTAGTTGTTTGATCTTTCAAGAACAAAAAAAAACAATATTTTATAACATGTTATTTGATTGAGATTCATTCAAAGGAATTTTTTAATCTACAAGAGAAAAAAACAACACACACACAGATTTGTGTAAAAATGAAAATGTTGCATATATCTATTTTTAAGTATTGTCGTAATTCATCAATTTGATTCTTGTGAAGAAATAGAACATAGTAAAAAAAAAAAGAGAGACAATAATAATGAAAAACGACTCTCTTTGACATTAGTCGTAAATCGTGTTTGAAGAGAACGAAAAACTTAACATGTTTGACTACATTATTTCTCGAATGAATATATTATAAAAATACTTCAGTTTTTATTAAGAACAAAGTAATTAATATTCTTTAGCAACCTATTCAAGAGGTCAGTAACAACAAAAGGCTTTTTTCATATTGCTTTAAAAACTAAACACAACAACAACAGTACTGATTTCAATATGGTCAAAATCTTCTATATCAACTCATTTTCGATTGACACGTGGCCAATTGATCGATTTCGAGGATTTCAGAAGAATACTTATAACATTGCAACGGAGCCATCTGAAGATGTCAGTCTTGCATAGATCGAAAGATCTTGATTTTCTCTAACAAATGACTATCTTGAAAGTCAAAATATAATGAGAAAAAATCATTGGGCATCGTTTCGAAAATGATCACTAATGTTAGTGAAAACGTAAGCTATCTGATGTATCAGCCATTAATGACCAATCTGGCTAATGAAGTGAGATTTTTCCGAGTTTTGACTCCAGAAAGATCTTTTTCATATGTCTCAAACATAAAGTTAAGAATTCAATGTTTTAGTGTTTCTCACACGCTCACCTGTGCTCAGAAGTACCGCTGCCGAGGAGAATCTCGTCTGAATCTTGGAGAATTTTCATTTGAGTCCTAAATAGAGTTCAGGACTTCAATGAAAATATACACTTTGATTGACTTTGATCTTTAACAAACAATAGAAAAAAAATCTGATGAAACTTCCAATCGATCATTTTTCGATACATAATTTTGTCGAGAAAAAAAGAAGTCAATTGTTCTGATTATTTATTTCGACGAATAAATTCTCTAGACTATTTTCTAAATGATCATAGAATAATTAATTTCACTCGTGCTTCATATACAAATACTCAGCATATTGAAAGGATGTCTCGTAGTAATCTGTTAAACAACTTAGCAAACTTTGATTTCAGTATCGATACTACTCATGACTTATCGAAATCATTCTCAATCTTGTTTTAGTAGACAAATTATCTTCTTCAATTTTTACACCGCTCGACAGTTTTGCTAAGTACAAATTTTATATAGAAGATCAAAATTTCATGTTGACGATTAAGTATGTATACTCAACTATTGTACCGGAAATCGGTGTAAATATCTGTTTATTAGTTGTAAGTGATGAGTGAATAATTAATTTATCCAAATTATTACTTAACTGTTTTGATATTAGACTGTTGCTTACATTGTCATGATTAACCCCTCTGACGTTTTCTGTATTTAGTCTAAGATATATAGTTATCTGTTTCGGATCACTCATAATCAAAAAAAACAAAAAGAGAAAAAAAGCCTTCGCAGCTTGTCAAAGAAGTAAGAATGCGGTGGCCGATATTCATCTACTTGCCTGCTACAATCTTAATAAAAGTTTCAATAGAATTGGAAGTGACATGGCAATCACTGAAGAAAATGGTTGATTAAACAGTCATATTACATTTCAAGCGATTAACTACAGTCGCTTGCTGATTTTTGAATACCTAACTGACTTCTATTAATAGCAAAACTCCTTGCTGCGTGACATTTTGTCGTAGTAATATTTGCATTTCATTTCTTTTGTCATCATAATTCAGATTTTTGTTAAGTGACAAACGGTTTTGACATGAACTTTGAGAAAGTTGCCGTTTCTGTGAAGCACACTGGAGATCAAGTGTTGTAATATAAAGTAAGAAGGGTGCATGAGTGTGGGTGTGTGTGAATATAGTTTTTGGAGTGAACAATCAAATTATTCGGAGATAGACCTTCACCTGCACTGACTTTCTTGTCTGGTCTTATCTCTTTCTTAGCTTATGCATATGTGTACATCTATGTTGGCTTCATATTGAACCTTTTTCTCCTAATAGATACTTAACAGTTTATTCTATACATAAATGAAAAACAAAAATTATGACGAAACCTATTTATCTCATATTATATGTTGTCCGAATCTTTTCGAAAAGATGTAAATTGAAATTATTCATGCATCAAACAAAAATTGATGTGCTTCTATCATGTAGATTAATTACAATTGATGCAGCTCTTTATATGCATATATTACTTCAGTGATAATCCAACATAAATAAATTATTCGTATTAAATATGATATTTATGACAAATATTTTTATTCTCTTCGTATGATATATATAAAACTTTTTATTGATTGTCAGCTATTGTGTCATGAAGAGAAATTTTACCATCTTGTTAAGTTAGCAACAAATCTTTAGCTAAAATTACTTCTAGATCACATACAAATATTCGATTTTCTCCGTAAATGGGATTGTTTTTTGTAAAACAGAATCAAATTACTTCATTCTAATATCTATGTTCTTCTTTCTATCATATTCAATACAAAAAAAAAAAAAAAAATTGCGATAATAAATTAAAACAAAAAAAAAAGTCAGAAAAGAATCATTTGTTTCATATATGAAAATTTATTTATATAACGTAAATTAATACTAAAATGAAATATTCAGATTCATTCGTTTTTTTTTTATTAATATACTATTAATTTTTTGATAATTCATCATAACGAATATGTACAAAATTTAAGGTCCGTCCCCCTCAAAAATTGATCTCAATCCAGGAACATCCAAACAGGCTGACATTTAGAGGATATGTTGGGTCTATGATAGGATGCATGTGATAAAAGTTTCAACCTTCTACCATGACGTATAATGGAGATACGGACCGAATAAGGGTCAAAAAATGACTTATCGCATCTCCAAAAGTTCTCAGTGGCTCTTCAATATTTATACTTGATTTTTTTTTGTTTGAAAGAGCATGTCCGGATGCAATGCCTATGAGAGCCCTTTTTTTTTAATCTTATCTTTTAAGGGGAAAAGGACTTTGACAAGTTCGGTTACTAAAAAAACTCTCCAAAAATGACGCTCTAATTAATAAGGCGCTTTTCAATATAATAAAAGCAAAGCCTATTTCAAAACAAGTGCTCTCATAGGCACTGCAGTTTTTGATGCTCTTTCAAACAAAAAAAAAATATTCGACTTTATATCGTATTGTAGTTGACTTTCGCTGGAGATATGTCATTCGACCACCATTTTGAGAAAAAACGAAAAAGATTTTTCGGAAAAAAAGAGGCGTCGAAGAAAAGTTTTTATCGTTTATGAAAGAGCAAATGACAGGCTATCTCCCCATGTATTTATCTCAATCTTGACCATTCTGACGAAAACTAACTTTTTTGAAGGGAAGGGCCCTTAAGTAAAGTGTTTTTATATTCGCGAACTTAAAATACATGCAAATTGTTTTTTTTAATTTTCGAATTAAAATGAGAAAATATTCGAAATAGAATATTTTGATCGAAGGATGGATGTGTAATCGATCGTATTGATTTACGATACTAGTTTATTAATAGTAAGCATTGTTAAATGATTAATTCGGTATTTATTTTGATCGTTTGATCAAATAATAATACACCATATTTTTTTTGAGAATCATTTTATCGAAGAACAGAAATGTAATGACTCAACTATGTCAATTTTTGTAGAAAAAACATCTGAATTTGTTCGTTCTATTTTTAATAAGAGAAATCAAAGTTACCTGAAAGAAAAAAAGAACAAAAAACATTTGCAAAACAAAAATTATTAAATTGTCATGTTTTTCAAGTTCTTAAAGATGTTATTAACAAAAATACCTTTAATGTTCGCTGCTCTTCACATCATATTCAAGGCTTTCTGTGATGAATAATGTTATTCAACGAAAAATAAGAAGAGAACAAAGTAATAAAAAAAAAAAAAGGTTTCTACGCACAAATATTTTTTTTTCCAGTAGCATAATTACTTGTAAATAAAGTGACATGCATCGTCAAACTTGTTGCTATTTTCACCTGAAAACGAAAAAAATTCAAATATATATAAGTATGGAATTTCAAACTGTAATTCTGTATATAAAATGTCTTTCTTTAGGATGAACAATAAAAATCCGAAAAATGATTACAATTCTGACAATGGTAAGTCTACTAAAATTCGTTCAACGTTGTATAACTTCATACGAAGTACTGATACATAAAACTGGAACATTATTCCAATGATTTTGTTTTTTCTTGATAAAGAACATGACTCCTTCGAAATTAAAGTTCATTTATATTAATTTATGTGAAATGAGAGATAGCAATGATCTCTTCACAATCTAGTTATTAAAGAGTTAATAGAAGAATCTACATTAACTTTAAAACATAAAATTAATTCAATCGAATCTTAGAGAAATTATTTTTAGTCATATTTTATTTACTTTTTCTTGTATAGACGATTATTCTATATTATTAAAAACATTTTTGGAAGACGTGAATAATAATGAAAAGCAAAACTTAGCAATAGATTTCGATGGTTAGTATCATTGATACTTATTCGTATGATATTTATAGATTTTTCTATGTTTATTTTTGCAGAAGATGAAGATCTGACTAAAATCATTGAGCAATTCATTTCTGAAGCAGCTGATTGTAATAATAGCGGATCAAATGATATATTTGATAATATCGAGCAGCCTACTGATTCTTCAGTTAACAATGAACAATATTCGGCAATGGTATCAAATAATTCAGTTGCAAGTATGTTTTAATCTTATTTTTCAACAATTTTATTAATTCTTTGGTTTTCATCGGAAAGAATACTTCTTGACTTGTACTTACAGACAAAAAGAACAAGTGAATATAGAAGAAAAACATTAATGTTAATATTTAAAATAGCTGATTTTATTGTTAGATATTAGTTCTCGGAAAGCAGTTTAGAAAGTAAGTTTTTCTCGTATATTTATCCTAAGAATAGGAGACTTAAATCTATTGAATGAAAGTGTGATATTATATCCTCATTCTCATATATGTTTACGAATTTTTTACAAACTATTACATATCATTTTTTCCCTCTATGCACCAATTCGTCTTAGAACTTATAATTTATAAAGTAGTATTATTATACATTATTTTCATTCTTCTAGTGATAACACTTGATGTTCATAAGCCAATATATTTGATGAATCCAATTTTGAATATATTTCGTATTCGTAGTAAAAACGAATTTATTCGCAAACAAGTTAGAGGACTTCCGAAATTAAAAGATTGCATAGGCAATTCACGGCTGAATTTTATGGTAAATTGACTTATTTATAATCATTGATTTTTCTTTTCTTTTTTTTCGTTTAGCCAGTTTCAGAATTCACAAATGCTCAAGTGGAATGTACAATAGTATTTCAAAATCCCAATGGGGAATTTTATTTTCCTCCTTATGAATTTGTACGTGGTACTTATCCAGATTTAAAATTTGAAAATCCTACTATTTATGATTTGGAAAAAGATGCAATTATTAATAATCAATATTTTTCGTATGCAAACATTTTTACATTTAAAAGAATCTAAGAGTTTGTTTCGTTTAATTTTAGTTTAGAAATAGTTATTTGTAAATTAAAAAATAGTACACTCGAATCTAATGATAAACAACAAAATCAAGTATATCAAATTCAGCGAGTTCGTTGTGGTATAATAAACATTTTGAAATTTCAGAATCAATATAACACATTATGTTAATATGCATTACATTTGTAGGTACTAAAGTTACAGTCGATCATGAATTATTATCATCATGGGGAATAAATGATAAGAAAAAGAAAACAAAACAAGCAATACTTACTAAATTGCCTGAACTTCTCAATTTATACACAGCATATATCATAATTCGTCGTACTCATTGGCATAATGATGAAAAACGATTTGTACCAGAACAAGATATCTTGTTTTGTTCTAATCCTTTTACACCAAGTAAATTATAAATTATTATGATAAAAAAAAAGCTATCTTATTTGAAATATTCTTTTTAATTCAGAGGATGCTGGACATCCAGAGGATCAATATGATTATAGTCCAAATCAACTACAAATTACGAAATTGGAAATTACGCAAGTATCATCGAATCAAAAAGTTACTGAATATAATACAGAATTATCATTTATTGTAAGTTATCATTATGTATTATATTTTATCAATACTATTCTTGTTTTGAAAAGATTCCAGATATGTATAAATGTACAGGTTTGAAAAATAAATATGTAAAAATTGAAATAGTTACTGGCAGTGAACAGAAGCCAGAAATTCATTCGAATTATAAGATTATGAATGGTCAAAGACCAATTAATTCAAAATTAATTCCTGTCGATGAATATATTTCTACGTAAGTATATATCTTTAATTTTATTTTCATGTAGATTGTAATCATAAGAAAATATCTTACATAAAATAAATGAATAGATTTTTATTATATTTCCTTTATCTTTGTATGCACTATGTACACAAATCGTATTTTGTTTTTTGTAGTGTAATGTTCAACATTACCAGACGTACTGTCGAAGATTGGGAAACAGATTTTGTGTTATATGAGACTTTACCAGTTTCATCTTCTAATAGTTCAAGTACGTAAAATTTTCTCGAAATATTTAGATTTATCTATTCTTCGCGTTTGTTTACTCACACAGCGCTTCGAACGACAATAATGGATAATTCCAGTATGAATAGTTTTCGTATACAATTACAACTATGTGATTGCTCAAACGATGAATTTATTCCATATCGACGATCAAATGTACTATCTGCTCTAGTGATTGATGGTAAGTTTTATTGCTTAAATTACAGTATATGAATAATATAAATTTTATTTATAGACTTTACTTCTTCTAAAGAAGATAGTATTTCTTCATTATTGAAAAATGACAATTTAATAGATGACAATGTGGATCAGTTATCAACACATGAAAAACGATCATTAGAGAAGGAAGCTTATGAACGGACGGGGTTAGTTTTCATACTCTTTCGTTAACAATGTTAGATATTGTATTCACTATTAAATTGAATTTTTCTCTATTTTAGTTCACCATTACCAAAAAGTCAAAAATCTTAATTTTTCTTGATGGCAAATTTGATATGATCAAATTTCAAAAGAAGCAAAATTTTAAAAAATTTTTGTATTTCTAAAAATAACAAAAAAAATTATAATTGACCATAGGTCTTTAATAGTTATTATTTTATCTAAATAAAAAATAGAAACAGGATGTAGGTATGGGTATCTACACCTACATATCGCTAACTTAATACTCCTTTTAATTTATGAATATTTCAAACAAGTCGTTTTTTTACTTCTACAAATGAATATAAATGATTTTAAGTTGCAAGATTGGTGTAAAATATCTGCGAAAAATATGACATTTGTATCACATACAATATTAAAGAAATCTTTTTTTTTTTGTTCTGTCTCGTTCTCATCTGTTGACAAAGTGTAAAAAGAAGTTTCATATTATTGTGTAATAATTAACATAAACAAGGTAAAATTCATTCCTTAGTCATAATATTATCACAATGAAAGATATGTGCAAGTTGAAGTTTGAATAGATAAGGGGAAGCTGAGTAGGTTTACCAAATTCAAATTTTAGAAATCAGTAGTTTTTCAGGAGAATTGTTTTTTCTATAGACTATGGCTGATAGTTGCAGCATATAAAGAGTGGCCCAGAAGTCCTGACCTGATTTGTATAATAAAAAGATGCAGTAAAAGACACTCTAAAAAATACTCTATGACTGATACTCTCTAATTCATATAGTAAGAGAGTTATAAGCTTAGAAATATGCGTCACAAAAAAAAATAAAAATTAACCGTGAACTTGATCGTAGTATTTTTATCATAAGTTCTGTTTCTTAGATTGCCTAGAGGAATTCTATTCTTAATAGAAACGCTGTGAAATTCTCTACAAAATCATTCATAGACTTTAATTTCAAAACTTCAATCAAGACAAATAAGCACATTATACAAGGGACACAAAAAATAAAAACTTTCTGAATTCGACATTTTTTTCGACTTGAACTTTTTCTTTTCCTATTATTTCGATAAAAAAGCGTAGCAAGAGTGAGAATTCAATTGAATTTGGTACTTTCAAATACGCTCTTTCTTATGGTCTATAGAAAATTGTTCTAAGAAAAGATGATATGCTGAAGAACTAACTTTCAAGAGTACGTCAAAAATCGACAGCCTAGTTTTCGATACTGTACTCAGAAAGAAACTGGAAACCGAATCGACGTTTTGATCGTGCAACCAGATAGAGAAGAGCAGTGACATCTAACAAAAACAAATCTGACCTATGAATCTTTGGGTATGTGTTTGATTTTTATCCTGATTTCTAAAAATCATCGGTATGAGTTATTCTATTTAGTTGAGAGTTAATTTAAGTTTGAGAAGAAGAACTAAAAACGATGTATTTCCTTATTGATTATTATATTCATTAAACACTTCGATGGATCTCTTCTTGTAGTAAAAAAATAAAAATCAGGAGAAATTCATAGAAATCAGCTCCTGAAATCAGGAAATTTAGTAAGGCTGAAGCTGAGTAAGTATGAGCTGTAAAGGTATACGAGAAATAAAGATGATAAAACTTTTAATTGCGAACACAGATGAAGTATGATAATAAAGGGGGGGGGGGGGATGCTGTGTGGGTGTTGATCTTCCTTTCACCCACACCCTTTGAACGAAACCTCTATTTGGAAAAAGCACAGAATTCTTCTTTCCGCACATAATTTTTCATTTATCTACTCTACTTTTATAGAGATCAAAGATGAACACAAACATTTCATCAAGGAACATGCATACTATTCCCTAATACAGCAACATATATTTTCTGTCGAAGAGAACGAGCAATTTCGTATGAAAGGTAAGTAGAGATATAGGCCAATCGTCTGGGTGGCCGCTGAACCGTCAAATATTTCTCATCACCGCAGCCGAAGACAAAAAAATGTATAACATTTTTAGTCAGCGCTGTCGCCAACAGTACAAAAAAAGTTACAATAAATTCAGGTGCCGGTCAATGCATCAACTTACACCTCTCTAAAGGTAAGAATAAATATCACTTGAAATTCTATTGTCAATATTTTTCATCTTGGTAGACATAAAAAAACCTTGAACCACTGGCTGATGTATCAATGATGATATTGAATACACTTGTTTTTTCGGTGGTTATTTTCAAAATACATTGTGTAAAGATTTTTTTTCATAACTAGAACGTTATTCAAGATTTCTATATATATATATATTCAAAATCAGCGAGGTCTTAATAATTATTTGTACAAAATATAAATACTGAGCATTTTTAGAAAAATTCATAGATGACGCTCTTTGCTAAATCATTGAGGTGTTGAAAGACTAAAATTGTTCAAGAATACGAATGACATTAGTGAAAGAGCAAAAAAAAATAAAAATGTAGCGAACTTCTCATAGAAATCATGCTATGAATCATTCATATTAACTAGTAGTGAATGGATCAACAACAAACCAATTCCGCATAGTTCCATGAATTATAAATCTAAATCAATTTGTTGTCTTTTCGTCCAATGAAAATCAATATTCGATTATTTACTATTTTAAAGAAATAATTAAATATTTAAAAAAAAATAAGAAAATTTTCTTTCAATATTTCTAAATTTCATTGAAAAAATAAAACATTAAGATTTTTTGATATAATCTATTGTCGACTATCGGAGGCCAATATGAATTTGATAGGAGCATATTATTTATTTACTTTTTTTCATTCAAACAATCAACTACCATGTGGCTATATTTTTTTGTTTTTTTTCTTTTAAAATCAATTTTTCTTATTTTCCTTTTCTTTTCTAGATCTTTGACTAGAAAACCGTCATCATGGGTCGTATGCATGCTCCTGGGTAAATTTTGTAATATTCATTCTATTTTTTTTCATTTAAGTTCCTTTTTTTTTCTTTTTAGCAAGGGTATTTCAGATTCTGCTTTACCCTACAAACGAACCGTGCCATCGGTAAGTTATTTATCTATCAAACAAATAAATAAATAAATTTAATTTTGTTTCTTTTTCTTAGTGGCTCAAATTAACATCTGAAGATGTTGTCGATCAAATATGCAAATTAGCTAAAAAAGGTTTAACACCATCACAAATCGGTAAGATCATTCTTTAAAAAAAAAAATTTTTTTTTTTTTTGAACAAATAAATTTTATTTTTAGGTGTTATTCTTCGTGACTCTCATGGTGTTGCACAAACACGTTTTGTAACTGGAAATAAAATTTTACGTATAATGAAAGCAAAAGGTCTTGCACCAAGTAAACCAGAAGATTTACATCATTTAATAAAAAAAGCTGTTGCTATTCGTAAACATTTGGAACGTAATCGTAAAGATAAAGATTCAAAATTTCGTTTAATTCTTGTTGAAAGTCGTATTCATCGTTTAGCAAGATATTATAAAACTAAAAAAGTTTTACCACCAACATGGAAATATGAATCATCAACAGCTGCTGCTCTTCTAGCTTAAATGAAGATTTTAAAAGAAAGAAAAAACAAAACAAATTATTTGTTTAATTGTTTTTTTTTTTTCGTTTCTATAATAAAAAGAAAAAGAATATGTTTTTGAATAAATATATGAAACATCGAACAACATTTGTTTCATCTTTTTAGATTAATCGGTTTCCTTTTTTTTTTGTTGTTATTTATATCTTTAAACGAGTCCAATGGCCACAGACGGACTCATTAATATTCTCGAACGAACGGTTACTGGCTGTAGGTATTTAATTACAAAAAAAGAATAATTATTGAACTATTTTCTATTTAGCACAAGCTGATTTGGAGAATGCACGAAATTTTCTTGCTAAAGCAGGTGAACAAAATTTAGTACGTGAGAATATTTTTGTGAGAAAAATATTTTTATAGAACGAATTTGTTTTTTTTTTTTGTAGTCGGAACTTTTAAAACAATTGTCCGATATTTTAATTACCGCCACAAATAATCCAACAGCACGTGCACAAGCAGGTAAGAACGATTAAAAGTTCCATATGATTATAGAATTTTTATATTTATTACATATCACTTCTTGAAACAGTAATACACATAAAATGGTAGAAAAAAATTTAGAAACAACAATTTTTTTTCCATAATGTTAAGCACGTAGCTCCAATCCAAATAGTGATTTTAATAGCCAATGGAGTTTTCTATCCAATACACTTTATAGCAAGATTTCACAGATGAACAATGTTGGCAAGACTCTTAAAAAACCGAACACGGTATTTTTCAGGTTCTAGAAGACTTTGTCAAAACTATTTTTAAACGGTGCCATCTTAAAGAGCACAAAATTCTGAGCAAAATGACGGGTCGCCGAGTTTTCTACGACCTTCTCATAAAAATCATGAAAAAGGCGTTTTTAGTCGATTTTTAAAAACATTTCGTTTTTTCATGATTTTTGTGATGCTTGTAACTCTTTTTTGAGAAGTTCGTAGAAAATTCGGTGACCCCTCATTTTGCTCAGAATTTTGTGCTGTTCAAGATGGTACCGTTTAAAAATAGCTCTGACAAAGTCTTCTAGAACCTGAAAAATACCGTGTTCGGTTTTTTAGGAGTCTTGCCATCATTATTCATCTGTGAAATCTTGCTATAAAGAATATTGGATAGAAAACTTCATTGGCTATTACAATCACTATTTGGATTGGAACTACGTGTTTAACATTATGAAAAAAATCATTGTTTCTAAACTTTTTTTCCACCATTTTAACTAATTATAGATTCACAGTGTTTAATATTGTGAGAAAGCATACCATATGTAATAATCAAAAACATTGAGATCAAGGCTGTTCGATAGTGATTTGTGGTTATTTTGTAAAATACGTGAAATTGTTTTCATGTCATAACCATGCTTATGTAGTACGGTGTTGTCTTATAGATGAAATCATCGGTCACGAACTGTTTACCTCCTAATTGCATATACAAGAAAATAATCTCAATATAATTTTTATGTGTTAATGTTTCATGAGGTTTTAATTTAACACATTTTTAATAGAAAGTTGTTCTTTTTTCGTTAACGGGATAGCGAACCTTCTCAGATGTATCCTTTCGATTTCAATGATTGTTTGTCTATAGATACTATATAAAAAGATTTGACTAACCTATCGAATTTTGATCTGAAACTCTTCCGTAGATAGAGAACACTTCCATAAAAGAAACTTACAAATTTTGAACAAAGTCTCTTTGAGATATGATGACTTTCAAGCTATGTATACAACATGCATTTTTGTGAGAGTTTCAAATCTCGAAGAGATTTTATTTGAAACTTATGAAAGTTAGTCTAATTGAGTTTCCTATGTGCATAAAGTTTCAGATCTAAAAATTCGAATTCATTTAGAACGGTATTTAGTATCTATAGACAAAAAAAATTATTGAAATTAGAAGGAGATATCTGCGAAAATTTTCTCGTAATTGGATTATACGAGATCTTAAATTTAATATCTTCTTTTTTTTATATTTCTAGCATTACAACTTAAAAATGCTCTTTATTCACGAGAAGATACTGTAAAACAACTTTATCAAGAACGATGGCTTAATATATCAGAAAATATTAGAAATCATATAAAAACTAATGTAAAATTTATTTAATATTATTTTCTATCAAATATTAATTTTTTCTTTAAATATAGTGTTTTAATGCTCTCGGCACTGAAACTACAAAACCATCACAAGCTGCTCAATGTGTTGGTTATATAGCATGTACTGAATTGCCACGTGGTCAATGGCAAGATTTAATAAGTAAGTTGTTTCATATTATATATTTTTCATTCTTACATGAAAATTTTCATGAGCGTGTTGACGAGTGTTGATTGTATGTGTGTGTACCATCTTAGAACGCCTGGTTGACAATGTTACTACAGTGGGCAGAGCCGATAATGTACGGGAAGCGAGCTTGGAAGCACTCGGTTACATATGTCAAGATATTGTAAGCTCATTCATTCATCCGTGTGTTTTTTTTTTTTATTGTGTTTTGTTTTCTTTTTTTTCTCGTAAGAGAAAAAAACAGAAATTTAAAAAAATTTTTTTAAAAAAAAAAAAAAAAAAAGGAACAAGAATTTTCTCTAGGATTCGAATGTACTTGAACCTCAAAGTAATCTTATATTAACTGCACTTATTTATGGTATGCGTAAAGAAGAAACAAATGATAATGTACGACTTGCTGCCATAACAGCTTTATTAAATTCATTAGAATTTACAAAAAATAATTTTCAAAATGATGTAAGAAAAAAATAAAAAGAATATTTTCTTTTTGTTTTTTTAATTAAATATTTTCTATCAATAGAGCGAAAGACATTATATTATGCAAGTTGTTTGTGAAGCTACACAATCATCAAATTTAAAAATTCAAGTAGCAGCTTTACAAAATCTTGTCAAAATTCTTACATTATATTATGATTATATGGAATATTATATGGGACCGGCATTATTTGCTGTAAGAAAACTTTTTTAATAGTCTATTTAACGAATCCACTATTTTCTTTTCTATGAAAAACATAGATACGCAGGAGAAACACTATAAAGTTAACAACGAAAAGCTTATTAAATATATGTATCTTTTCCCAGTAATTTTCGCAAATAAAGAATCATGTTGTTTTTTATTTTATCCTATTGCTGACAGCGTGCAACATACATAATAATACGGAATGGTTAGAGTAGAATTATTTGTTGGTCTGCTATGCTTGTGTATATGTAGGATTACATTGTTTTGTTAATAGATGACATTGTTGAACAGCAAGTGTTTACCTTCAGATTGAGTATGTCGTCGGAGAACAACTTCAATATGATTTTCATGTGATAATATTTCACCTGATTTGAATATAATTGGAGACATGAGATCATTTTTAGAAATACCTTGTTACACTATAATTCTTTTTGAATATTTCATTTTTTAATGAATATCCTTCTTTGTCCGGTTGTCTCCTGTCGTCTAGTCTTTTTAACCAAAAAAAAAAAAACATATTAGATGATGAAAAAGTTCATCTGTTATATTATTTTTTTTTTTTTTGGAAGATTACAATGGATGCAATGAAATCTTCTCATGATGAAATAGCTTTACAAGGTATTGAATTTTGGTCAAATGTATGTGATGAAGAATATGAATTACAATTACTTCAACAAGATGTAAGTTTCAAAAAAAAATTTTTTTCGCAGATTTATTTTTTTGTTTTTTGTAGGCACAAGAACAAAATCGTCAACCTGAACGAACAAATCGTTATTATGCACGTGGTGCTTTACCATATTTAGTACCAGTTTTACTTCAAAGATTAACTATGCAAGAAGAAGCAGATGATGATGATGATTGGAATCCATGCAAATCAGCTGGTGTTTGTCTTATGTTATTAGCTAATTGTGCTGAAAATGCTATTATTCCACATGTATTTCCATTTGTTAGCGCAAATATAAAACATACTGATTGGAGACATCGTGAAGCAGCTGTTATGGCATTTGGTTCAATGCTAGAAGGACCTGATGTTTCAAGTATTAAACCAATAGCTGAACAAGCTATACCATTTTTACTTGAACTATTACGTGATCCAAATATTGCTGTACGTGATACAACAGCATGGACAATAGGACGAATATTTGAATTTGTTTCACAAGCTGTTATGACAGATGAATTACTTCGAGCTATTGGAAGTACACTTGTAAATGGTTTAAATGATGTACCACGTGTTGCAACAAATATTTGTTGGGTATATTTAGAAACAGAAAAAAAAACAAATCGAAAAAAAAAAAATTTTTTTTATATTTAGTCATTTTCAAGTTTAGCACGAGCAGCATATGATAATGCTGAATGTTCAGAAGATGATGATACACCAAATA